TTGACTTTGAGTTTGATCATATGACTTGCTTTGGCCAATGGCATGTGGGCAGGAATAACAGTCTGCTAGTTCCAAGCTTAAGCCTTAAAAGGACTCTCATGTTTCCATTTACACTCATGGCTTTGCTATCACCAGGAGTTATTCCACTGGTCCCAGAGGAGAGTGAGAGATTTGTGACAGCCTCCCCATCTGCAGTAGCCTGAAGCTGAGCTACCCCAATCTAACCATAGATCTTCATTTAGAGACAGAGCTGCTCACCCAAAGCCAGGCTAGATGGACAAATCACAGCTATCCTGCAAAAGCATTAGCAATTATAAATGATTGCTATTTTAAGATACATAATTTTGGAGTGATTTGTTATGCAGCAATTGCTGATTGACACACTGATTTCCTTATACTGGCTGCAAATATCACCTTTCTGGACCATATTTTTGGACATTCACTGACCACCTGTACCTCCTAGACATCTTGTGCATCCTGGAGTAAGATATTTAGATTCTGTATGTCTAAGAACACCTCTCTTTCCTTCTCTGTAAGGTTATAGGATAAAATATTGGATGCTCAGTTTAATTTGCATTTTAAATAAAAAAAATGTAAGTATATTCCAAGCAATGTTCGCAAATTTTTTTTCAAATTCAGATTTAACTGAGTATTATACATTTTTATTTGCTAAATCTGGCAACCCTACTCTTCTACTGGTGGGATTTGACAAAAGAAAAATGACACCCTCCCACCCCAGACACACACACACACACACACACACACACACACAGAGTTAAGCTTAGATCACTTATTCTATCACTTCATGGAAGAGTTATCTTCAATGAAAGTTTAGAGCAGTTTTTTGGGGGTAAGTCTGCTTGAAGTGATTGCCTTGTGAATATTCTCTCCAAATTCCAAGGCACAGAGGTGAGGGAAGGAAGGAGTTATTTACAACTCCACATTAGGTTAACTGGATCAGTGGAAGGACTTCATTTCTCTCTCCATAACTCTCTCTAGTGAAAATCTGTCCACTCTTAACATATCAGAGGTGAAACAGAGAGTTAAATACCAGGAGCCACATATTGGGATTGCAAATGGCTGCTTATCATTCCTCAGTGCATAGAAGGACCCTATCTTTTATTGTCAATTTGATTAAAGGCTTCAGCTTCAAAATAAAATTTGTGTCCAAGGGGCTTTCATTTTCCCTTTGATAAACAGGCATAATTCACTTTTCTTTAATGTTATTCCAAAGAGCGTTGTGTTACAATGGGGTTTTTGTGATGCCCCAAAAACATTTTTGAAACTGTTCTTATCTTTCCAGGCTCTTGCTAACAGCCACCACAATAGTCTCTTGGGGTATAAGTGTGCCTGCTCTAGCAGAGGCTCAAGAAATAAGTTTATAACCTCTGTAAGTTGGATCTCCTGGGTGGGAGGGAGAAAAGGTTGCATATAAATTCTTTTCCATAAAAGGCTTTATCAAATGACTGAAACACAGCATACTAGGTTCCAGATTCATTTTCAATCAGCATTTTGTGAGCACCAACTAGGTACCAGGTGGTTCTTAGACCACTGGTTCTTAACCTTGACTGCACATTAGAATCACATAGGGAGCTTTTTGAAAATAGTGCTCCCCAGGGCCCACCCTTGTAGAGTCCAGCGCAATTGGTTTAGGATGGAGGCTGAGCATTAGTATTTTTAAAAGCTCCCTAAAGACTCTAAGGTTCAGGCAACAGTGAGCAACACTGATACATACAATTGTGTTTATTCTCCTCAGCAATCCGATGAGGGAGGCAGGAATATTGTGTATAAAATGTGGGGACTGCTCACTGTAAAGCAGCCTCCATCACCCTCTCCTCAAGCTTGGGCCTGTTTCATGCTGTTTCATACCATGACAGCTCAGGACACCAGGGGGCTTCAGGGTTTTTTTAAAAAATTGAGTCCTCTATAAAAAGTATAATGCTCAGAACTTCTCAGATAATTAAACTCAACATACCAAAACATGATAGATATATTTTAAACTTTGTATTATCTAATATTTAATGTACATAAAAGTAAAGGAACAGCGTAACAAACCCCCGTTACCCATCACTCAACTTCAACAATTACACGCATTTTCTCAGTCCTGTTTCCTCTCTGTCTTCCAGAGTTTACATTTGTTTTGTTTTACTAGATTGTTTTAAAGCAAATCCCAGTCATATTATTCACCTGTAACTTCTCTAACACCTGAGGACTTATTTTGTTGTGGTAAAATATAAGTAACGTAACGTTTACTATTTTAACCATTTTTGAGTAGAGTTCAGTGGTATTAAGTACATGCACATTGTTATGCAACCATTACCACCATCCATCTCTAGAACTTTTTTCATTTTTCCCAACAGGAGCACTGTACCCATTAAGCAATAACTCCTCAACCTCTTCCCCCAGCTTATGACGACCACCCTTCTATTTTCTGTCTGTATGAATTTGACCACTCTAGGTACCTAATATAAGCAAAATTGTACAATATTTGTCCTTTTGTGTGTCTGGCTTCTTTCACTTAGCAAAATGTCTTCAAAGTTCATTCACATTATAGCATGAAACACCTAGGACTTTTTCTGCAGCAAAATCTAATATCTTCATCCTTAACAAAATTAATATGATATTAATATGGTTAAGTTTCCTTTAAGCTAACAGTGCCCTCTCACCCAAGCCTAGCACTTTTTTGTGCCATTCATTAACTTAGAGAAAGAAACCAGGTCATTTGTTCTGTAGGATTGCCATCGTTAGGTTTGGCTGGTTATATTCTTCTTCTCTGGGAAGCATCTAACATGCTCCTCCCTTCCATTATTTCCTGGAAGCTGATGGGTGGCACAAGAAGCTTAACCAGACTGTTGTCCATTTTTTTGGCAAGATGGCTTCCTGGGGACTGTAACATACATCACGTGGTGCCATTCAGGAGGCCAGCATTGTCTGACTGTTCTGTTTTTAGTGATGTTAAGATTGCTCAGCTACTGTCACCCTGATCCTTCCATCCAACTTCTGCGTGATAGGATTTCAATACTGAAAGAAGCCACCCTGAGTTTATGACCTCTGCCCAGCTCTTCTCAGCTGTTTGAAGGAAGAAACAGAACCACGGAAGTTTAATGATTTGTTCAAAATCATTTGTTTGTCAACAAATGTTTATAAAGCTCCCACTCCTGGAAGGACGCAGGTCTCTTTCCATGTGAAGTTTCATCACTCCTCCCCATGCGACCACATGGCTCAATTCTTCAAGAGCTTGGTAGCAATGAAAGCTGTCCAGAGTAAACCACAGCCTCAGGAGGGCAGGAATCTTATCTATTTATTCTCCACTGAACTCCCTGGACAGAGCACAGTTCTGGCATAGAACAGGCATCTGATAATTATTTGTTATATGGAAGGAGGAACAAGTGAATGAAATGAATACTTACTTAATCTAATCAAAAGATGCATGAACTTTTGGGGCACTTTTTCAAACATATGTTTCTCTATCTCCTTTACCTATATACATCTTTATAAAAGAATGCCCAGATAGTTCTTATTAGTTTCTGTCCATGAGTCCATCTCAATATGAATCTTAGATATTTGTAAAGAGCAGTGTGGTCTTTTGCCAAGTGCCTTTTCTGGGAGATCACACACACACAGTCAAGGACTGGCTTTGAACTCCCCAAAAAGCTTTGAAGTCTCTTACCTGGATGGTCTGTTGCCCTTCTACAATTTCCAGAGAGCAGCCAGGGTGAAATTTTTCAAGTACAATTCTGATCATACCATTCTACACTGAAAACTCTCCAGTGTTCTTCCACTGTGCTTAGAATACAGCCCAGACTTCTCGCTGGGACCCTCAAGTTCCTGCGTGTCCTAACCCACGGCCATCTGTCCAGCCTCATTTCTTAGAATCCCTTCTCCCACCCTGGCCTCCTTTCACTCCCCTGACCACAGAACCTGCAGCCCACTCCCACCCAAGGCCCTTGGACCTGCCTTTCCCTCCACCTGGCCTGCTCCTTCACAGCTCTCCCTTCAGGTGTCTAATCAACTGCCCTGGGACAACCCTGTTTAAAACGGGCCTCCTCTAGTCACTCTGTATCCCATTGTCCTGGGTATTTGCTTCATAACACTGTCACCATATGCAATTACCTTATTTGTTTATTTGTTCCCTCTTTTTCTTAATCCCTCTCCTCCATTAGAATAGAAGCTCCATGAAGATAAATAATTTATCTTATTCACTACTCTGTTCTTAACAACTAGGACTGTGCTTAGAAACAGAAAATGAGCTTGGTAACTATTTATTGGGTGAATGAATTAAGGCAAACCTTTAAAAGTTTGTGAATGCAGAATGTCTGAATCCTTGATCAGCCTGCCTGCTTTTCTACCCTGGTCTTCACCCCAGTACACAGCTAAGCCTTTTGACACACTATAGCTCAACTTGGCCCTAGACTCTAGGAAAGAGTTGAAAGAGCCCTGATTTGTTTAGCTGTCACATAAAATTCCCTTAATGTCAGGCCTGCTCCCACCTTGGGCCCAAGGTCTGACTCCTAAGGTTGTGGCTTATTCCTGGACCTAAATATTCATATTATTTCTCAGGTCATATATAGACTCTGCCTTATCCCCCTGCTTCTCCCTCTGCCTTATTCTCACCACTGTCCTCCCACCCTAGGAGTTAGAGTCCTGGTTCTTATCCCAGTCCCCGTGCTGGAGCAGGGCTGCTGCTGCTGCCCTGGTGGGCCTCTTCTGGATTTATCCCATGTCTCCCTCAAAGCCTTTCCCATCCCCCCACCCACAACTTTGTCCAAAACAGCCAACACCCAGCCATGATGGGCCAAGTTAAAGGCTGTTACACCAAAAGCAAGCAAACTCGGCCTGCCCCTCCTCCATGGAAGCAGGGAAGGGTGTCCCCAAGATCTTACAAAGGAAGAGGAAGTGGGTCTGGTGCTCTCATAAACACTTCAAATGAAAAGAACTGTCAGCATTTTAGATTTGAACTATTAAGTTGAACCACATGAAATCGCTGGTTTGCTACCTACCAAAAATAGGTTTATATCACTCAGCCACACATCTCCTGGCCTGCTTCTTCTCCCAGACATGGCACACAGAGCTATTGTCTGTTGTCTTGGATGGATCTGGAGTGAGGAAAACATGGACCATAATTAAAGGGTGAAGTCTGGGACCAAACTCTGAAAGAGAAAGCCTTCCCAACCCCTTTGCTATGGCTTAGGACACTTGAAACAAAAAATAAGAAGGAAGTGTCGATATTCATTCACACTCCCTCAGCAAAAATGCATTCAAGTCCTACTATGTGCTAGGCATTATGCCTTTAACCTAACATTCTCTTCACACTTGATGTTTGAGCCCAGCTTCGTTCTTCCTTTCGAGGAAGGCCTTTGTGTTATAAAAGAAACAGCACTCATTTAGAGTCAGAAAAGCCATGGTTCAGCTCCCAGGTATGTTATTAATGAGCTGGATGACCATTAGCAAAATTTCAGACTCTCTGAGTTCTCAGTTTCTTCATTGATAAAATGGGTATAAAAAATACCCACACTATACTTTCAGGATGAAATAAGTTGGTCTCCATGGCAAGTGTACTCACCATGGGTAAATTCCTTTCATTTTTCCTTTTTTCATAAAACCCTTTATTCATTCTCAAGTTTCCTTGGAGCAGCTATGGCCTCTGGTTTAAATAGGTTTGTTCAGGTTGGAGCAGACACTTACATTAAGTGGGATAAAAATCTGGGGTAAGGTTCATAGACACCAGGTTAAGAATTCCTGATGTATGTTTAGGTGTTTCAATACTCAGAGGATGACTCTGACCCCAAATGATCAACGTCTCTGTCTGCTTTCTTGTTCTATTTTTGGATGTTTTATAAACACGCCAATACCAGTCTACTGGACCCTGGACTTTGCTACTACCCAAAGCCCTTGGCCAGTGTTATCACTGATCACGACTAATTGTTGGCAGAGCTGCAAGGGGGAGTCACTCTCATATCCTGCTAGGGGAAGTGTAAATTGAGAACACCTTTTGGAGGACAATTTGACAGTCCCATTAAAAACCCAGAAATGTATGTAATTTGTATATTAGAAATTCAACAGTAAGAGTATCTGGTGAGAAAGTAGTTCATTAGATGTTTGTTTACAAAAACTTGGGGGAAATCCTCAATATCCAAGCAGAGGCTTAATTAAATCAAGTATGACCACCCATAAAATGGAATACAATTGGGCCATGAGAAATCTCATAATAAAATGAGAAAGTGTAATCCATTGCTAAGTGAATAAAGCTGATTATAAAACAGTACAGTGTTTATCTTTTTTTTTAACCAAATATACCAAAAGTCTAACAGTGGTTATATCTACATGGAAGGATTATTGGTCAGTTTTGTTATCCTCCATACTTTTCTATATTTTCCAATTTTTCTGCAATCTATGTAAAGTACTTAGAATATTTTCAAAATTAGAGGGTAGAGGGAAGGATCCATCTTCCTGTTTTTTTCTAAGTAGTTAATTCAAAAAACAGCTTTAATGAGGCGAACAGAGCAGAGAGCAGAGACTTCTGAGAATGGTGGTGACACAAATGGCCATTGTTACATCATGGTTATGAAAGATTTAAGAATTGCTATTTCCATGTTGTGAGTTTTCCAAGCCACATGTTTGTACGTGGAATTGCCTTGACCAGTTGCGTTCAGCTCAGTGAATAATACAATGGAATGTCAGGGCAGGAAGGACTCTTAAAAATCAATTTGTTTTGCTACATTTCTTAGGTGAGGCATAAAAGCTCAGAGGAGCCAAGTGACTTGTGTTAGGCTGCGGAGCTGGTTGTATCCTTACACGTGGCACTATGTAGCAAGTACACTGGGGTTCACATGATGAAGAGGCAAAGATTATTCCAGATTACAAAGACACTTCACAAAAGTATCCATTTAGAATAAGGTATAAAAAAGGGTAACAAGACAAGACTAAGACTGTGTTTGCCAGAATTCCACTTGAGGAGAGCACAGTGTTTGTTTTAAGGAATGTGGTGATAAGCTTACTCAGACTAGAAATTGAGGCCTTGGGGCCATGAAATTGTTGGTGCCAAGGCTTCAGGAAGAGGGGCAGAACCCTTCTGCACAAGGAGAGAGAATTGCCTGTGTTTCTTAAAAAGGGAAGAATTGGGAAAGAGGAAAGAGATGAAAAGTGTTGGTTATGAAATGTTGGTGAGTAGATGATTTTCTGTGAGGTCCATGAAATAGCTGAGTTCTGTATCCAAGTTGGGGCAACCAGTAGGCTGACTTGTCCCGACTCATCCTAGTTTGCTTGAGACTTTCCCGGTTTGAGCAGTGATAGTCCATGTCCCAGGAACTCCTTAGTCAGGGTAGTTAATCACCGTAGAGTAACATGTGCAATTATGGGAATTGAAGACCTCATCTCATTTCTAGATTACAAAATAAATTTTTCAAATCCAAGAGACTGTTGAATTTTGCAAAACATTGTCAAGTTTTGTAATAGGTTAAATGAGCAAAGTGGGAAAGAAAACGTCTCTTCCCACATCCAAAGAGTCTATAATTTTTCAAAAGCCATTTCCTAGGCTGTAACAATGCTTTAAATTATTTATAAATGTGAGACCCTTAATTAGAAAGCTTCTCTCTTGCCCAAAGACCAGGGATTAAATTTCTGCCCTGCCAATTGTCCAACTCACTAAATCACATCTCCTGTAAATAAAACTCAACTTCCAGATGTAAAATGAAACTATACTTGTTGTACTACTTCAAAGTCCTGAGGTTTAAATGAGCAGTTCTTTCCCATATTTAGATCCTATGCACATACACTAATACTGAAGGCAGAAGAAGGTGAACGTAAAAGCTCAACATCATCATTTTGGGCTAGAAGCAGTCCCTAGCCCCATGGAAGCTGCCAGGTTTTCCTTTCTCTCTCTTCTCTTTTTCTTCCCTAGTTTCTCTAATTCTCTGCAGCTCCAGGATGAGGAGTGGAGCACCATGCTCCTCCTGCTTCAGAGGAGAACCTGCACTTGGAAGAGTCAGGCCAGATGGGAACGAATGTGCCTTCCTCCCTGTCATTCCATTAAGGCTCTTCTGGGTTTGGCACAGCTCTCAAAATAGCCTTTCTCCTGGCATCTTTGTGGCTGCAGTGGTAAGATGGAGGTGATGTAAAGATGTGAGACAAAAAATAATACTGTCCACTGAGCTCCTCCAAGAGTTAGGAGGACCTGGTTCTAGTGAGTAGATAATAGTAGTTCTTCAACCCTGAATGAGCATGAGAATCACCAAGGAAATTTGCTAAAAACAGAGATGCCTGGGGATCCATTACAGACGTCCACAATCTGTAAGGTCAGCTATGGTCTGAATGTTTGTGTTTTTCCAAAATTCATCTATTGAAATTTTGACCCCTCAGGTGATGGTGTGAGGAAGTGGGGCCTTTGATAAATGATTAGGTCATGACAGCAGCACCCTAATGAATAGGATTTAGCGCCCTTATAAAAGATGCCCCAGAGAGATCTCTTGTCCCTTCTACCATGTGAGGATATAGTGAGAAGTCTGCAGCCTGGAAGAGGTCCCTCACCCAACTATGCTGGCACCCTAATCTTGAACTTCTAGCCTCCAGAAATGTGAGGAATAAATTTCTGTTGTTTATAAGATACCCAGTCTGTGGTGTTTTGTTATAGCCTGAACAGACTAGGACAAGCTTTTTATTTTTAGCAGGCACCAGTATATTTAACTACCTCCTCAGGTAATTCGAATGGATAGCCAGGGTCAAGAACCTTGAGTACAGAATGTGGTGCAATGGATCTCAGCCCAGGTGGCTCTGAGGCAAGTGGAACGCAGACTGCACTTTGTGAAATGTTGCTGTCGTGGTTAAGAGCACAGGTTCTGAAGTCAGGATTACCTGGGCTGGAATTCCAGTTCTGCCCGTGTGTCATCAGACAAATTACTTAATCTGAGTTCCACTTTCCTTAGGCATTAATTGTGACTTTGGGGAACAAAAATAGGACCTTCCTGTTAGATGAGAGAATGTTTGTAAAATGTTTAGAAATGCAGAACATGGTACAAAGTGGAGAGTAAAAAAATTGTCTGCTTTTTTTTTTTTTTAGTCCATACCTGAATTTTTATTTGTCTTTTGGATTGGAACAACAACAAAAACTGAATGGCTAAATTTTTCAAATTATACCAAAGCAAGGGAAGTTACATTGAAATAGATATATACATACCATGCCGGTGGCATTTTAAATATATTCCATCTTTTTGGAAATAGCTTTGGTATCACATGTTCTATGAAGCATTTAATTATTTTACATGGCTTTATAAGCCACATATTGTTGGAATTAACCAGACATTTACTAGTGGGCCATGTTTTTTGTTCCAAGGTCCTAAGATGTTATCAGTTAGTTGGTAGATAATTTATCTCACCATTTCATATAAATTGAGCAATTTGGTTTTGAAATCTATCAGGAGATCTAAGACTGATAAAAAAAATTTGTCTACTTCTAATTAGTCACTTAGTCCTCTGTGAGCCTCACCCTCCTCATCCACAGAATAGAGTTCATTCAAGATCATCTCTAAGGTGCCTCTCAGATCCAACTTTCCATGACTGAGGATGTAAAGCAGGCATTGGCAAACTTTTTCTCTAATGGAACAAATAGTGAGTGTTTTAGCCTTTGCAGGCCATATGGTCTCTGTTGCAGCCTCTAGACTTAGCCATCATAATGTGAAAGCAGCCATAGTTAATACCTAACGAATGAGTGTGGCTGTGTTCCAATAACATTTTATCAACAAAAACAGGCGGTGGGCCGGATTTGACCCTGGGCTGTTGTTTGCAGCACCCTGGTGTAAAAGATAAAAGGAGAAAAAAGTTCCTTCCGCTCTGTGCTAGTCAGGGCCGCAGGAGTGTGCCTTCTCCCAGTACCACACTTTTGGAAAATATGAAGGCACAGAACAGTTACATGATATGCCTTAGGTAGGTTATATCTTTCAAACTGGCCGTAAAATATATCCCATTACTCACACTCTTTGTACAATGAGACTTTGACACTTTTCTCATCAAGAGATGGGGCCTACGTTTCCTATCTTTAGCTCTGGGCAAAATTATGACTATAGCACAGTGACAGTATGTGACTTTCGAGGAAAAAAAAAAA